AAGAGAAAATGTGCCCAAGCATTCCAGTGCAGTGTTTGGAAACACAGGTTACTGGGAGTAAGCTGATCTCAGCCCCTCTGATCTGCTTACCTCTATGAGAACTCACCAGCCTCCATTTCCTCGGCTAAGTCTTAGCTCTGTATCAGTCCAATAGTGTGATATTAGTAGCTACCCTAAGGTTTGTGGTGTACATCAGATGAGATAATGACTACAATAAAGTGCTTACAAAGTAGCCCACAGCGGTTCTCAATGAATGTTGTTTCGTCAATGAGACAATGGAAGGAAAACCCTGAGATGACAGGGAACAGAAATATTTGCAATAAAAGAGATATTCACTATCATTTTAGAAAACATACTCATTCAGAAAAGTTAAGCATTCTGACCAACATCACAACTATTTCCTGACAAACTCTAAAGTTGAACTTGGACTTCCTTGATGTCAGACAGCATTCTTCCCCCTCTCCAGTACTGCTTCTCCTAGTATTCAGTGGTTTATTAGCATAGACTAAATATACTCTGTGGCTAATGACTGATTTTGTTGGTAAAGTTTTGGTGAATGTGGCAAAGTATACATCGTTGTGGTAGTGTCAGAGACTCTAGCAGTGTGCATCTTTAAAGAGTTAAACTTTTAAGTCCCCTTCCTACTCTAAGAGATTTATCCCAAGGAAACATAGTTGCCTCTTGAACAAGATGTATTTAAACTGTGCAGGTCCACTTATCTATAGATCTTTTTCAAGTGTACTAGAAAAAATTTTGAGATTTCCTTAGTGCTGTGAAGCAATCCTGTCCATTACACCGAGCTACTCACAGCAATCACCTTGCCGCTTCCTCGTTATCGATGCACGAATTGTCATATCGATACACGAACACCAATTCCTTTTCCACGTTATCTTTTCCTTGTCGATGTCTAGTGTTAAAAACATGTATAACATCTACAGTGTTTTGGATCATGTAAGACAATATTGAGGTAGATACTGCCAGGGGATGCATCTCACAAACAGATGGCGCATACTTATGGCAACAATAAATACAGTACAGTAGTGCAAGTGTGCTTCTCCTCCTTCTTATGCTTTTCTCAATGACATTTCCTTTTCCCTAGCTTAAGTTATTGTAAGAATACAGCGTGCAATACATATAATGTACAACATGTGTGTTAGTCAGTTGTCTGTGTTATAAGTAAGGCTTCTGCTCAACAGTAGACTATGAGTGGTTAAGTTTTAGGGGAGTCAGAAGTTGTACGGGAGTTTTGGACTGTGTGCGAGTCAGCACTCCTAACCTCTGTGTTGTTCAAGGGTCAGCTGTGACAGGAAAGAAAGGGTTGTATGCAAAAACATGCCCCCTACAACATTCTTTGGAATACTGAAAAACTGGGCATAATCTAGGAGCCCACCAATAGGAGAGTAATTAAATATGGTAGATCCATGAATTTTAGAACCACTAAAAAAATTATGCAACCACGAAGAAACATGAACATTTTATTTTTCATCTTATTCTAAAAGAAGGTAATTTAACAAGAATGACAATTGTATTTTATCATAATAACAACCAATTAAAAATTAAATATTTACATAGATAAAATCCAAAAGATAAAATGAAAAAATGAAGGCATTTTAGGAATGTTTGGGTTGGGAATGCCTTTTTCTTTCACTTTGAGTTCTCTTTATAATAAAGAGATGCAATAAGAAACTGTTTAGAATGAACTCCTTTCTTTGTTGGTACTGAAAAAAGTTTAAGTGATCCAACATCATGATAGTACGCACAGCCAAATGAAAGACACAAGGTCAGAACCCTCGTCAGACAGTGAACTCTGAGGGACACACTGATGTATACCAGTCCTTGACTACTCAGAACATAAGAGCTAGTAGAGAAAACATGGCGTACACATGGCATATCTCAGCACTGCTCTACCTCCGAGACCTTCAACATCCCAGCAAGTACCAGCACTTTTCCCCACCCAGCTTCCATGCCACCTGCTCCTGAACATCATTCGTACTGCCAGTCTGCTGGTCCTCACGTTTTCTCTTGATCTATCAGCTTGGTTGCATTTGCTTTGTCAGTCAACTAAGGCCCATTGTTTCAGCCACCCCCTCCCCAAAAGTCACAACATTTTGAACATCTGTCTTCCCATTTCGCCTGCCCTGAAAACACCCATCTACTGGACAAAGCCAATCATTTGACATCTCACAGCCTGGAGTGCAAGAATCCCCTGGACAAAACCATCCCACGTCCCTTGTGTGTCCCTCTCTCCCTCCCTGCAGTCTTCCTACATCTCATCCTTGCCTTTTCTTCCCCTCCCCCAATGCCTTTTACTGCACAGAAGGAAATTCTTAAACAAAAACTTTCTTTCCTTGGGCCAAGCCCAAGGCCCAGGGCATTCTGCATCCATCCTTACCCCCTGCCCCCCCACTTTCAGAGGGTGAGGTGACCCTGTAGCTATTCTCTGGACCCAAACCCTCTGGCCTGCTCTGGTCTTTGTACCATCCATGAACATGTCACCCCTATCTTCAGCTCTGCCTAAACTATTACCTTTTTCCCTCAGAATAAAAACACCTGTCCACCATCTTATAAGGAAGCTTTTCCTTTAGGACATGTATTTTTCTAAATAATTACACACTGAAACAAAAGGTGTCCTAGCTTGGCTCTCTCCACCTGATACAGCCTGACTCCTCCCACCACACCCCCAAACTGTTCCCACAGAAGTCAAACCCAATGTTCCTCTTCATTTCTTAGCTCACCTGAACCCTCAGCTGTGTTTCATCCTGCTGACCATCTCCTGTGTTGACCTATTCTCTTTCGGCTCTTCAGACCCTCGGCTGTTACCTTAGTTAATGGTGTGAACAAACTTCAGGCCACCCGGGAAGGGGAGAGCTGGACAGGCCCTCAGTTTGAGAGGAGAGCTTGAGGTGGGCTCTTCCTGGAGCACGCCTGCACCCTTCTTCCCTCTCAAGTGGGCATCTTTACTCTTTTCTCCTAAACCCAAAGGGTCCCCATGGGACTTGCAACCAGGGGAGCAGCAAGCAGCAGCAGCTTGTCCCAGGTTTTACCCACTGAACCTTCTCCAAGGCCCCCTTTTCTGCTGACCCTCTGGTGAGCCAGAGCAGCCCCACCCTGGCTCAATTCTGTCACCATGACTTTTACTTCTCAGTGAATTCACACAGCCCAGTGTGGCTCACTTCTTTCCTATAACATTTCTGAGTAGCCAAAGCAGACCACCACCCAGGCTCTCTCCTCTTGCTTCTTCTACCCTAAGCCCTTCCTTTGTTTCACTGTCCCCCAGCTTTAATAAATGTACTCTCAAAATAAAACAGAAAATTAAAAAAAGAAAGGAGTTTGCACTTTGGGAAGAGTGGTGGTGTGGCAGCTGTTAGGCTGAAGATCTAATAGATGAAGTTTTGAGAACTGAATTCCTTCCTCAAGACTAGTTTGTGGACTCTAAGCCAAGGCAACTAGTGATTCAGCGATTTAGGGTGGGTGGGGCTCAAGCCACGACAATCGAGAGAACCGCTTATTCTTTCATCTTACTGAAAAAAGGCCACGTGGAGCCTGGATCTCACTATCAGACTTGTCGACAGTATCCACATTTTCCTCTCTTGGGGTCCGATCAGGGGTGAAGGGGGTAGAGTTCCAGTCCTCTGGGTGTCTCTCAAGAGTCTCAAATAGCTGGAGCTTCTAAACTGCATTCATTCCATTCAATGGCATGGAATAAAATTCTCATTATTAAAATAATATTATTTTTTAATATTAGTGCCATTCTTGTACAGTACAATTGGTGTTTGATTACATGTTATCTATTGGCTATTTTGATTCTTTCTTACTCTGAAGTAATATGACCCCTGTCAGACTGCAGATGACTTGAGGTCAAGGGTCCTTCTTAATCTCACTCTCTTCTGTCTCCTCTACACCACTTAAACCTGTGGAAGATGCTAAAAAGAGAGAGAGGCAGAAAAAAAAATCCCACTGTTTAATTTAGCAAATATTTTAACTTTTTACATTTCAAGGGGGTTTGACTCCTGAGTGCAACATATTATTCTGGGTGCAGAAGTGTAACATGGAAAATATTTACATTATCTGCATTTTATGAGCCGCAGGAGACAGGAACACCTCAGTACCTAGGGAGGATTTAGCAGAGTTGAAATAGTCCCACACCCCATCACGCATATTGTACTGACTGAGATGTAACAGCCAGAATCCCAAATGATGTTCAGAGCTACTTTGGGTTCACTTTATAATAAATCCTGTAAATCCTGGTAGTTCCACTCCTTAGGCCAAACGCTTCCAAAATCCTTATTGTGGACAGCAGCTAACTAAGTGTTTGGGAAATTTGGATCAGGGTGTCTACAAATAATCAGAAGAATAATCTGGAGAGAGAGAAAAAAAAGAAATCCCATATAGTTCAGTGTGTTTTTTCCCTGAGTTTCCTTCACCAGCTATAGAGATTTAAATGCTCTAAACCTCGTGCAGTCTTTTATTTTTAAAGAACTTTCCACTTTTCTTAGTTACACAGCCAGGTCGGGGCACCTACCAGAAAATCATTTCCCGTTTTAAAAAAAAGCTACAATTTGAATGCAGTCATTGAATTCATAACAGATTTGCTATAGTGTAATTCCCTGAGATTACAACTTGTGGCTAAAATTGGACTGAAAGGGGGTAACCTACAAAGGCAAAAGGATCTAGTTGCTTTTTGTTTTCAAGATAAAATCGGATTAATAACCTGAAATCGTGAAGTCTCTAGGGCCCACGGTACAATCCCTCTAGTGCTGTAGGCAGCTCCTATGATTTCCGGGAAGACTGGCCCAGGCACCGCAGTATCCAGGAAGGCAGAAGGGAAGCTGGTAGCTGAGCAAGGTATGAGCCTCTCAGAGGCAGCCTGGGGCCGCCGCACCTGGAGGAGGAGGAGCTGGCACCCGGACACACCTGGACCCAGAGGAAACGCGAGCCTGGTGCCTGGCAGGTGAGGAAAGGACTGCCTAGCCATCTCACCTTCGGAGGCGGGGCACGGCTCAGGATCACCATCAGGGGCGGAGCCGGCCCGGATCACCTGGGCCAAGGCGGAACTGTAGGGTCTGGTCGCTGTACTGAGAACCTGGAATTAGGCTCACCTGTGTGGGGGGCCAGAGGCGGGACCAAAGCTCACCTGCGCCCGCCGAAACCTGACCCGGGAGTAGCCCCCGGGATCGCCCAGCGCGTAGTGGGAGGCGACCCGACTGGCCCCATCTGAGCCACCCTCCGCCCGTCTGAACCCGTGGGGCCGCCATGACCTGGAGCGCCACGGCGCGGGGCGCCCACCAGCCCGACAACACCGCGTTCACGCAGCAGCGCCTCCCCGCCTGGCAGCCGCTGCTGTCGGCCAGCATCACGTTGCCGCTCTTCTTCTGCGCGGGCCTGGCCTTCATCGGCCTGGGCCTGGGCCTATACTACTCTTCCAACGCCATCAAGGAGCTAGAGTACGACTACACGGGCAACCCCGGCACCGGGAACTGCTCGCGGTGCGGCGTGGCCGACCAGGACCGCGCGCCACCGCCCACCTGCTTGTGCGCCTGGTACTTCTCACTGCCCGAGCTCTTCCAAGGCCCGGTGTACCTCTACTACGAGCTCACCAACTTTTACCAGAACAACCGGCGCTACGGCGTGTCCCGCGACGACGCGCAGCTGAGCGGGCTGCCAAGCGCTCTGCGCCACCCGGTCAACGAGTGCGCCCCCTACCAGCGCAGCGCCGCCGGCCTGCCCATTGCTCCCTGCGGTGCCATTGCCAACAGCCTCTTCAACGACTCCTTCTCGCTGTGGCACCAGCGCCAGCCCGGAGGGCCCTACGTCGAGGTGCCGCTCGACCGCACCGGTATCGCCTGGTGGACCGACTACCACGTCAAATTCCACAACCCGCCGCTGGTGAACGGCAGCCTGGCTCTGGCCTTCCAGGGAACCGCGCGCCCGCCCAACTGGCCCCGGCCAGTCTACCAGCTCAGCACTGACCCCAACAACACTGGCTTCATCAACCAGGACTTCGTGGTGTGGATGCGCACCGCGGCGCTGCCCACGTTCCGCAAGCTGTACGCGCGCATCCGCCAGGGCAACTACTCGGCCGGGCTGCCCCGCGGCGCCTACCGCGTCAACATCACCTACAACTACCCTGTGCGCGCCTTCGGTGGCCACAAGCGCATCATCTTTAGCAGTATCTCGTGGATGGGCGGCAAGAACCCCTTCCTGGGCATCGTCTACTTGGTCGTGGGGTCCCTCTGCATCCTCACAGGCTTCGTCATGCTGGTCGTCTACATTCGCTACCAGGACCAGAACGACGAGGATGAGGACCAAGAATGATTCCTGCTGAAAGCATCCATCCTGTTCTTGCCAAAACTCTCTTGCGAGTTTCATCTGGCTTCCCCCCCTCGCCTCTCATCCAATCCCAACCTAGCCTCACTTCTCCTGCTGTGGATGAGGGGACCGGAGAGAGTAATTACACCCCATTGGGGGCTACCAGACTCTTGCTGGGATGTTTAGGTTGGATGTTTGTGACAAACTTGCAAAATCTCCCCACCTACTTCACGATTTACCGAGTTGACATGTTAGGTTCTTAAGGTCCGTAACATTTGAGATCGAGAGGGACGCCATAGACTCCTTTTCCTCTATTTAATGAAGAGACTGAGACCTAGAGATGTTAAATAATTCATTCAAGATCAGGCAGCTACTCATTGGCTCCTGACTCTCATTCTGGAGAGTTTACCACTTAGTACAGTGGTTTTCTTTCTTTTTCCTTCCTTTCTTTTCTTTTTCTTTTATTGCCGGGAGGTGGGTGGGAAGGTGGGGTAGACAGTGAAGCCCACAAATAACCTGCTGAAGTATGAACAGCTGGGGGAGTCCATCTTTGTTTAAAATGTAGATGGATTAGGAGGCACCATCCCCAGAGATTCTGACAGAATAAGGTTGGGGTGAGATCCTGGAAGCTGCATTTTAACAAGCCCCTCTGGAGGTTTTTCTTGTAACCCCTCAAACTGGGGAATTACTGCCCTGAACCAGGAAACAGGTACAATACTGGATGTTTCCCTATTTCTTTATGTGTCTGAGGCTGGTCCTGAAGCGATCACCAGAGGCCAGTTTTTCAGATAGTTATTTAGTCCCAGGGTCAGTGGCAGTCAATGGTGTAGGTTTGGTCTAGCACTCCACCTTGACCATAGAAGGGATTGTTTTAACCTTAGGATCAGCTGGAAGGAATCTTAGAGGGAAAGTGCTTTTCCTAAGTCATATTTATACCTACCTTTTCCCTGAGGTCTAAGAAAAAAAAAACCTTAAATCTATGTTCTCAAGTGAAGTTTCTTTGTTCCTAGTAGTTATGTTTAAATGAATGCTAAGGTGTATAGTCTTATATGTAAAGTAGAATCTTAAGAATTATTTGAGCATTTGAGATAATGTTAAACTCTGATTACTCTAAAATTATCCTAATATATACAAAGTTATTCTAAGAAACAATAGAATTATTTTTTAAAAAATCTTTTTATGCCTACAGAACTTAAAAAAAACTTAGTGATATCATCTTAACCAGCTTATTTGCTGAAAGCAAACAGTTGTGTGGCATTCTGTCAGACGGGATTCTCCAGCACCTGCTCTCCATCGTAGCTACTTTCCAGTTGCTACTGTCTTTGCTCAGACCAGTAAGGCGGTTCAAGACCTTGGAGTATTTTGTTTTTAGTAATCAAAGAAATACTGAGTTGTATTGAGTGTTTTTACATTAATTCTAATTTACTGTACTCTAGCTCTTTAAAAATTAATGATTGATAGACAGCATGCATGTTCCTGACATCTGATCAGATCTCTGGGATGTGATTTAAGAGATTCTGTTCCACTATTTACATACACTAAGACAATTTTTAGCAATTTCAGTGTGTTGGCCTCCCAACTCCTGAAGGTGACAGAATTTAATTGTCAGATTGCGCACTGTGATTTTAAGCTATGAAAATATGATCATTATACAGAGTAATCTGTATTTTTAATGAATGTTTGATCTAGCAGTTCACTAGCCTAGCCCTTCTTTGTGTTGGAGGTGAGAATTCACTACATTTTTTACTGTGTACTTGAGAGCAACCATGTATTTTGCTATCATCTGTACAATATTCAGGCTATTGCTGTAACATTTTAAGTGAGACTACAAAATTTAAGGTATCTGATTAAATCAATGAGTAAGGTTCCATGCCCTATTCTCTGGGTTTTTGAAAGCGAATAAAGGTTATGTTTGTTTTAACTTTGTTATCACATTTGCTTAATGCTTTTGAACTATGATCTTAAAGGCACAAACAGTACCAACCTCTTGGCTCATTTGTTACTAGCAGACGTATTGCAGCAAGAAAGTCATCCTTCAGAATAAGGCTCAAAGTGAACTCAGTCTTTCTGTGCTAACTTTCTAAAGCCACAGGAACTTATCTCAACATCAATGTACAGTATGAATTAGATCTTCAAATATTGTTTGATTTTGTGAAAATGAGGTCGATTTTAAAATATACATAGTATGAAAAGTTATTAATGAATGTGATGATAGCAGTTTTCTTTATTTCTGGATCTTTCTCAAATTCTGAACTGCAATTATTTGTGAGGTATTTGTACTACAAAACCACAGAAACCTTAAAAGCAAAAAATGTGAAACATTCTTGTGCTGTAGCATTTTGTTTGCTACCTCAGGATTCTAGCTGGGATTGAATTCTTTTGTTGCCAGTAAGTGTATCCTAGTTGAATCTGTCTTCTGGACTGAGAAGAGTGAACCTCAACAATTGGACTGTAAAGGTGCTTTGATCTATATTGATACAGCAAAAAAAAGAGAAACTAATGTGGCTAATGGGAACTCCTGAAATAGAATAATATAACAAAGATTTTTTCCATGTCTCTCCAGAATCAAATCAATTAAACAAACAATTTACCAACTATGCAATTGTTAAAAATCAGAGACAGAATAGTAGTATGGGATTTCCTTTAGTAATAAATATCACTTCACAATACATACCTACAGCCCTTTCTGCCTTACCTTAAATCCTCTGCTCTTTCTGTCATTGGCAATCTCAACAATCTTAAAATCTCAGAGTTATTGGTAGAGTTGCAATGTAATCAATTCTCTATGTGCCCTTGGATAAAGTCATCAGTTACTGTAATAACAGTAAATTCCCTCTTTATTTTTATCAGGCATTTGTTTATACCCCAGTTTTTCCTACAGCTAAAGCATAGCTGACTGATTTTAGATGACAAATTTTAAAAATATATATTTTAACTTTAATCCTCCCCCTCGGGGGAATTTCTCTTAATTTCCCTCCAACAAAAATGAAGTAGTTTTTAAAGTGTCATTAAGAAGGTTGTAGTAAACCTGAAACACATTAATAACCTAAAGAGATCTCTTATGAGAGTAGTGCCTTGTGTAAAGAATTTGCAAAAATATTAACAGTGTTTACTCTATATACAACCATCTCCCATAACTGTCCTAATAAGACTAACAATGCATATTCAGGAAAAAATACTTCCCCACCGTTTTGGTCAGCAAGCCAGTATGGGGGGCTCCCCCAAAATGTGCCGCTGTGGAATGCAGATTGTTTTGAGCTAAAGAGAACTTTAGCTTATACAGCTAATGTATTATAGGATTGTACACCTGAAACCTAATGCTTTTGTTAACCAATGTCACCCCAATAGATTCAATAAAAATTAACCAAAAATTCTCTTTAAATAAAAGATGATCAGAGATTACCTCTTTTGACCTATCCGTAGGGCAGGACAAACTTCTGTTTACCAAGCATGTGATCATCACCCTGCAGTGGCCCCTTGAAGCACGCTTCATGCACCTTGTCTGATCCCTGGCTTGGGGTGCCTTACATGCCCAAGTTCTCTCTCCGTCCCTGAACCTCTTCTGCCTGTGGGGTCTATGACTTCCTCAGATATGTGGGGCTCCCCTAAATTTGGTTATTTGCTTTTGCTAATCTGCCACATGTCTTGTTGATTATTAGACCAGCCAAAAGAACCTTGAGGGTAGAGGAAAGTGTGTTTCTCCCTTGCAGTATAACTTCTCTATTTCATGTATGTGGCTGAGCAGGTCACCACAGGTCAGAAAAACCCTGTGGTAACGAAACCTAGGGCAGACTGGGAGTGCAGAAAGCAAGGAGGAGGGAAGTAAAAGGGAAAGATGAGGTCTGGAGCAGGAGGCATTTTTCTGAGCTAGCAAGGTGTCTGGAAGGCCGGAGTGGGGGTTGGCAGCGAAGAAAGCCCATCACCGAGGGCAGAGCTCACCAGTGGAATCATGGATGACAAGGCCTTAGAGAAATTCTGTAAGTCAATGGTGGTTCACCTTCTTCTGAACCCCTCAGCTTGTCTTTTTGATCAATTTGAGTGTGATTTATCTTTTTCCTTAGAAGCAAAGGTATTACTGTCAAGAACCTTTGCTAATAGCCTTGCCCTCCACATCAAGCATTAAAGTTCCCATTAAAGTGGCTAAAACCTTACATTACTGATGAAAACTGTAAATGATATGTCATTTACAATGATACTTTGTTCTTCTAAAAGGCCTTTGTTCTGAAAATCCAAGGTGCTTAACACTATGTGGTCTCATTAATCTTATCCATCAAAACACAGGAGCTTTTAGAAAGTCATCAAGACTGATGAAGTAGAAGTATATTCCTTTCTATATTCCTCGGTTTGGGTCAGAAAGCTCTAAAAGTAGTGTTTTATTTTATTTTTTTAATTAAGGGTTTTAATATTTTTTAAAGATTTTATTTACTTATTTTTTATTTTATTTTTAAAAATATTTTATTTACTTATTTTTAGGGGAAGGGAGGGAGAAAGAGAGGGAGAGAAACACCAGCGTGTAGTTGCACTTGTGCTGCTCCTACTGGGGACCTGGCCCGCAACTCAGGGGTGTGCCCTGACTGGGAATCGAACCGGCGACCCTTTAGTTCATTGGCCAGTACTCAGTCCATTGAACCACACCAGCTAGAGCAAGTAAGTAGTGTTTTAAATAAGAACATAATTTCTGGTGTGGCAGTGCTACTAATTTGAATGGACCACTTCAGTATTTTCAGTGAAAGACTTGATTAATTTTTCTTAGGATTTTGATAAATAAATGATATTTCCCATTTTTGTTAAAGAATCCAAAATGGGAAAGGTAACACTTTCTATTCATAGAAAGTGATGGAATGTAATATACTTTTTACCCTTTTCCTGCAGGGCTTTAGTGGTTAAGCATTGCCTGTTACATCAACACAATTTGCAAAACAAAACAAAAACAAAAAATACCTGGACTATAGTGTTTCTCCGATTTTACTTAGTCAGATTAGCTCATATACTCACTTCCATGAGTCTATAAAAACAGTATTGAAAACTGCACATATAAATAGTAGAATCTCTATCTCCATCTTAACTTCTATCCAAACTCATATTCCCTCAACACACCTAAATTTCCTACAGGCAGCATGTGACTCACTGACCTCTTCCCAAACCCATTCTCGCTAGTCCCAGGTGCTGAACGTGACTCCTCTGTTCCTCTCAGTCGCCCAGGCCAGAAACCTGACTTGCTTCTTTGACTCGTCCCCCTGCTTCTTTCCTCATCCAATGGGATGTGATTCCATGTCCAAGTGCAGTTTCAGTCGGGTTTCTCTCTGTCACTGCTTTTGCCCGGGGCTTTGTTATTTCTCATCTGGAAGTTGGAGGAGACTCCTAATTGGGTTCCAGTTCATCCCCCACATCCCAGCCACAATGAGTTAGCCAAAACACAGATTTTTACCAGGTTACCCTCAACTTAAAACCTCTCATATCCACACTCAGCCCATAGGAGGAAGTCTAAATTTCTCAGAAGAGCCTACAAGAGCTTCATGGTTGGGCTTATTCTAAATCTTCACCTCCTTTTCCTCCAAGACCCCCCAAATCCCAGCCATGTTGAATAATTTGAAGAGGCCTGAACCCAACATCCCCCCATGCCTTTGCCCATGGTCTTGCTTGCCCACTTGACCACCCAAATCTGCCCATTCACCCTCCAGACCACGCTCAGTGTTTGTGTCCTCTGTCCTCTGCGAAGCCCACTGCAGGCCCTCTGGGCTTCCTCCGCTCCCTGTCCTGAGCCTACTCTCCCTTTTGTGCATGTCCCGTTCGCTCTCACTGCACTCATTGTGCTGCCTAGGAATTGCTTCCTGCTTATCTGTCTCCGTATCCAGACCGTTAGTTCTTTGAGGGCAGAGAATGTTTTTTTCTCATTCATCTTTATTATTGCCAGTGCCAAGTTGAGTGACGAGCACATGGTGTGTCCTCAAACATTTGTTGAACGATTATTAGGAAATCAATGATTCCATTACTTTACAACGACTGAGCACACTATTGCTTACAGTATAGTGGGATGCATAGGAAATAACTGAGGAAGAAAACACGATGTGGAAATGACACCCCAAATGTTTCAAAATCTTACACTAAGGAGTGCCGGGGATGCACAAATATTCTTAACACTATGGAAATGCTGAGCTTAAAGCTTCCATTTGGAGAACTTAAATGTGCAATCAGGTTCTCCTCCATAAACTAATTTGCAGAAATGAATAGCAATGGGTTATATTAATCCATTGATAATGGGGACAGTTACTTAACACCCAAAGGAAATCAATGTTTTTCCTATTAAACTCCAGTGAGTTAATGGAATGTTTATACTTTTGTGGTGCTTCCTTATAAAGGAGAATTCTTTACTTACTCTAGTATTCTATAATAAAATGTAAATGAACATTGCTTTCCTCTGCCAGATAATTACCCCAGAATCCATTTAAATGAAAATAACACTTGTAGAGAAATATCCAGAAAGGAAAGCAAAAATAAATTAAATACTCGCTGTCCTACTTGCTGACTGGTGTTTGGTTTATAACATTTGGCACATCTTAGTATCTACCTAATAGTAGTTTTAGAACCATAAATAATATTTTACAGAGGTCACACCATAATTATTTAAGTTTAGGGGTTTATTTCCCTGAGCACAAAGTAGCTATGAATGAATTATGTTTAGTCTGATCTGCCACAGAAGGGCCATAAACCTCCAAGTCACAGCAAACTGTGGGATATCACGCCAATGCGTCAGGAAAATTGTACATGTAAAAGAATCATGCATGATAAGGGAAAGGCATTTTTATTTTTTTTAAAGTAATATATGTGACGGGGCAGGAGCTATAAAACTTTGTTATGTTAAACTTTCCTCTGATTCTGGAAAACAAGTGAAGAAATAGCTTTGCGCCATCAGCCCTCAACCAGCAGAGCAGGCTGTGGCCCCAGAGGAAGGGCCTGGGGAGGCGAGTGTGGCCTTGAACCAGGAACAGTTTCCCTCCTGAAGTTGCTGCACCTCAAAAACATGAAAACAAAGAAAAGCTGCAAGAACACAGGACGTGGCTTTGCAAACTTCTCTTGACTGCCAAAGCTCCCTGCCCATGACCCCGAGGCAAGTGTTTCTGTAGATACTCAGGGGTGAGGGGAGAGATAGTTTTTAGCATTAAGGTGCAGTCCACTTTCCAAATGAAATCTAGTTAAAACTCTTAAACACAGTTGTTAAGCACTTAAACATAAACAATTTTCCTTGGTTTTCTCATTTAATTTTCCCAACCCCAATATTATCCCCATTTTCGCAAATGTATAAACGGAGGTTTGGAAAAAAAAAATGGTTCCAAGTGACACCATTTGGTGAGAGACGGCCAGGGCTGCGCTGAGGTCAGTGTGGCTGTGAAAGCCCCGCTACTCAGAGTCAACAGTGATGCTTTCCAGGCAAGGATCTGAGCCCCTGTGTTATCACATTGCCATCCTCACTTCGACCCTATGAAATAGATATTATTGTTCTCTGTCTGTCACAGTGAGGAAGCTGAAGCTCAGAGATGTTGGGAACCGCCCTGCCTGGTATCAGAAGCTGTAACCCCCGGCCAGGCTAAGGCTGAGG